CTTCTCACACTTTTGAACCTTTTTATTTATGTATATACTGATTTTGACAACTAATCCCAGTACCCCATTGTTATATTTAATTGTTAATAACTTTTCGAACAATTTTCAATATGACAAACATGAGGAATTGGCAGCACTGTCAAGTAGTCAGTGAGTTTTCCGAGCTCGTTTCTGTTAAAGCTCGTCCATTTGTTCTCGAACGTTCGCGAAGTGTGAAGCGTCGTATACTAGAACTCGTATTGAAAAATTAAAATCAAGTTCGAACAAGATAATGGCGTTGATAAATATAGAAATTGAAATGCTGAACGGTGATGACCAGGTATGTTAAAAAAATTGTATCTATATTATAAGAAATTAAATAATTTATAATTATATATTCAATATATAAATTATTGTTCGGACGCTACAAACATGGCGCTACATATTCTATTCGCTTTGATTTTTTAGTTTATAAAAATTATTCCTATTAAATCATTAATTTTATTGAATATAAGTATTTTTATATTTGTTTATTAATTTATTTAAAATATTTTAGTGTTTAATTGTTTATTAAATTAACCTTTAGATAAAGCACGCCTTTGTCCTATACCCCATATCCTCGGTTTTCCGTAAAAACAAAAAGCTAAAAACTCAATATTTTTCTAAACAAATTTTTTATGATTTTTTTTATGAATTTTTATGATCCTAAAGAAATATTTAAAATTAATATTCGATATTTATTAAATAATTAGACATTAGTCAATTTTATTATTTATCAAAATCAACTTATTAATAATTGCCTTATATTTTTTGTCCTCTAAGCTTGATGCTGCAGAAAATATTGAGGTTCATGTCGTTGGCATGGCGGAAAATATAACTTTTAAGATTGATAAGAAAAAGCCTTTACGTAAGATGATGGAAGATTTCTGTTACGTTATGGTAAGTCAATCTACAACATATTACGCTGTTTTATTTCTTATTAAATAATCTTAAACTTTAACAGAGTGTTTCAATGGAGTCCATTATCTTCTGTTACAAGGATTATCCGCTTTCTGGGGATGAGACACCTATCTCTTTAGGATTGAAGAACAATGACAGCTTTGAAGCATTTCAATTAAAAGTCGGTGATTTTTAATGATATTAAAAAAATGTTTTTATGGTCTCAATATATGTTAAATACATGTCATATTACTCATAAAGAATAGTTCATGACTTTGTTGTGTTAATACGAATTGCGACAGTACTTACAGGGTGATGTGTTATATATGCCAATTGTTTATACACAGTGTTTGTGACAAATACTGTTCAAAATCATTTAAAGGTACAAAATGTTAACAGTATTACCTATTGATATGCGTTTTGTTTCCTAGCTGTACTATATGCACTTTAATCTCTCTATATATGTATGGATCATGTAGGACAGGGCTTTCCAAACCAGACACGTTCAGAGGCCAATTCAAATTACTGTGCAGATTGGAGAACCGCAGAAACAAATACATACGTCCATTGTTTTTTTTTGGAGACATGGTGATAATGTTAAATTTAGTTCATTAATTAAGTTTATTAATGTATTCAGTTGAATTTTTCGGAATATGGTATTCTAATAAAATAATCTAATTTTGTCAAAATATATCAAGGGAAAATTGATGTAATTGTGGTTGATTAGAAAAATGTCGCGGGTACACATATATTATACCCGGTTCGCATGTGGCCCGTGGGCCGTGCTTTGGACAGTCTTGATATAGAATAGCAATGCTTTTTGAATCAAACGAATATTTAAACTTCAATTCTATTGAAAAGAGCTGAAAAGTGGTTTTTAATTGTATTTTCAGCTTAACCTTTAGCAGAATTGGAACCCAACCCTGCGTGTCGAATTTTCAACATATATGTCCACTGTATTTTCCTATTGCACTGTGAACAAAGATTTCTATATGTTAATGAAGAATACAGAGTGTGTGCGAAATCATGCCAAAGCCATGACGAGTAGCAATTAAGAACACCATTATGTCCTTTGTAGAGATGTTGTCTAATTCCGTTATAAGTGGATAGGCAGTGAATAAGTACTAAAGTCTGAGGCTGGCGTGACTAGCACAGTGACACAAAATATGTTCTCCGGTCTTCTTCGCAACAAAGTCTGCAGCTATCGTCTCTAGTAATACCTAGGTTCGATAGATGCTTTTACTCCGCAATGTCCAGTGAGAAACTCTGTGACAACACGGATGCTGTTTTTAGATAGTTAATAAATGAACCTTACTATTTGGAAATTTCATTAGCACAACGAGTGAAGTCTATGAATTGAAAGCACACAACACCAACGATCTGCCTACGTGAATCGATATATGCAGGTGAAATTCTTTAATCAGATATTGTTGACTTGACTGCATGTGAAGTGTATATTGCTATGCAGATACAGTTTAGATATATAATAGTTGCAATAGATAAACAAATTGTAAATGTTGTATCGCAATTTGTAATCCATAAACTAATTTTAGTGATCGTTACGTGTTTAAGATGCATGTGAAGTAGTGCTAATACTTATGTGCAATGCATCTTCTTGCAAGAATTTCCACGTACTTCTGTCATTGCTGCATTTGCATTATAAACGCGTCGCTAAAATACACCTAAACTCATAAAAAGCTATACGTGCTGTAATATTTTCTGCATACACGTGAGTTTACACCTCAAAGATGTTACCGTATTTCACGTAAAATATTAACATGTCAACTTTCCTGCATTAACAACCTTCGGCAAGCTTCCGAGTGAAAATTCAAAGGCCAAAGATGATGTTTAAATGTAAATTATCCTTCTTCATATAAACTACAGTGGAGGTGCTTTAACTATAATTTTTACAAATTCAACATTAGTGGAATTTTCCTATCACGTCGTGTGTAACTGATATCAAATTAACTTTATGGATATATACTTTATAAATACGGTTTGGTAATCATTTTAAAAATAGACTTTGAGAAATTTTATAGTTTGCTAATGAAGTGTATTATTAGATTTATTTAGTAAGTACTTTCGTTACTTGTATTTATACTAATGTGCCAAAATTAAATTAAATTATTATTTTATAAACAAAGCCAACATAACACATTTCGTGTTGATTTCCTTGTATAAAATTAGATTCTTCTTAACGTCTAAAACAATTTAAATGAAATGTGATCACATTAATCTTAACACACCTGTGCAAGGAGCAAAAAAATGTTCGCATTACAGCTCCCAAACTGCGTTTCTAACGTTCATTTCAAAAACAAAAAATCCTGAGCCATGTAATTTGCATGTACTTTGCACTGGAAAAATCACTTTTGAGAAGCAAACATTAATACGTTCTCGTCACTTTACCTTAAATTCAAAGCCATAAGACACAGGATAAGTCCCACCGCTACTTCCCTATTTAAATGTGGCATGAGCTGTTCGCAAGAACTTCAAGACATTCATACGTTCATATCATTGAAGCTCAAATACGTTACTATGTTACTTGTCTAGATATTTAATTGAGTTTTATTTAAAATAAATTGTTTTATTTAATCAGACAACGAACACAATTTCGGCAGCTATAAAAACGAGGGTTTGAGTAATCACCATATTACCATGGATAAGAGATTTGGATAAGTCAAAAATTTAAGATTGCTGTCAGAAATTTATTGGTTTAGCAAAATTTCATTAACTACAAGCAAGAAGACACTGCATTTGATTAAATTGTTTCTTAAGGTAAGATGAGATTTATTTACTTAAAATTAATTCCTCATAACTGAGAGGTGTTTACGTGTTCATAATTCATAGCTAAAGGGGAGTTATGTTCATACAAAGTGTTTTTTTAAATATATGTAAATTTAAATCGAAAGAAAATAAACACACATTTGAGAAAAATAGTTAAATGCTCTCACAAAAACATCTTAGAAATTCAACACCAAGCTTCAATATTCTAAACATTCACTATACACTGAAGATTAACCATACAAATGTTCCATTTGAAGGTTTCTTTTAAAGATGAAATCCATTCCGAATTATTTCCTCAAAACTGCATTGCTCAATGTTTGTATCAATTGATAAAAAATTTATCCTATGCTTACGTCGAAAACCAAAATTCCGTTGTTTTTTATGTTTCTGTTTATTTTTAATTTGTCATAAATAATGCATATAATAAAACAGTTTCTATCTATTTACACTATCTATTTACACTAAAACAGGGTCTATTTACACTATCATGAACGTGAAATGAACTTGACGATAACATGAACTGTCATTTATGTTTACACTGTCATGAACTGTCATGGGAGTGAAACTTGTTTTGTTTTGTGTAAACGTATAAAATGCTTGTGTGTAGTTGTGTAGTAAAAGGTAAACTTAAACATAACATTAGCTATTTTCTTATGTCACAACTAATTCAACCATTAGAAGCTAATGTGTAACAATATGTCTATTCCACAAGTTACGTTGAGTAACACAGTGTATACAAAAGTGTGTTCCACCAGCAATTTTTCGAGTAAATGATAGCATATGAGAGAGTGTAACATCCCTGTCGAAATTTGAATATGCTATACAGTCTTTACTCGTACATTTTATTTCAAGTAAAATTTGTGTGATGTGTAAATCAGCTGTTTTGTTTTGAATTTAAATTTTTGTATTGTTCATTTGCGCGGCAGGTGTGCTCTCATCAGATTTTACACAAAGCTATTCCATGAAAATCTGTGTAAGGAGTGTACTTTACTTGTGTTTTACTAAAAGAGACGTAATATTTCTTTTTAAATTTAGGTGCAACCACAAAGTTGCTGTAATTTGAATGTGTGTATTATATGACATAAATGAAAAGAGCGTAAAATTTGTAATATGAGTGTTTATATGATAGTCAAATGCTTCTGGGTATACGTAAAGCAACTCATGTCTTTTACTCTTAATTGAATTAAGCAGTTTCGAACACTGGTAATCAGCTGATTTAATCGTGTCACAAAGTTTAGTTTTGCTTATTGCATTTTGATGTTCTTTTCGACACATTAATACGAAGAATACAATATTTTTAAATTAAGTATAAAATTTTAATTTCATAAGTTTGCTGACTTGAAAATCTGTTCTATTCTGTTGAAGACAAATCTAACGCACATTAGCATGTCAAAGAAGAGATAATAACTTGTTTTCTGATAAAATCGTACAAAAAAGGATATTTTAAATATATTTGATCAACTGAAAAAACCGTAAATAAATTGCAAACTTTTAGGTCAAACTTCTTTATAATATACTTCATTACTTCAAATGATGTTCATAGGACAGTAGCAGAAAAACTGGTATCACCCGTTATTAATATAAAATTGTTTTGCAAATTCAGAATAATATTATCATTCCAGGAAAGTTAATGAATAATGATTACTAAGATAAATGTGACATATAGTCCAAAATCTTATAAGCGGTCAGCAAAGTAAAGGATGCTATTTTTATGATTTCCAAGTGCGCCTGTTTATAAAAAATCTTTAGTATATCTGGATAACATGTTCTAACATGTTGATACTTTCACCTACGCTATTTTTAAACCAAAACATAATACATCCAAAAATCTTAACAGAGTTATGAATTGCTTTCAGACGACCAGCAATAGTAAACCATACAATAATTTAAAAACATATGGGAACATTAATTACATTTCATGTTAAATGTTTACTGACAGCAGCTTTTAAACTCCTTTTACCAGGAAGGGATGGTCTTGATTGGTTGTTTGTAACTGTGGAAACTTTCTAATAATATTTATTTATCACTAATTACTCAAATAAATTTGAATGACTAAAATATGCAAAACGAAATTCCTGTCAAAGATGTTTTTAATTGGAACTAAAAGTGATAAAAATAAACTTTATGGAGCAAAACTAATACGCATCCTTCGAAGTTTAACTTTTGGGATGAATGTAAGTTTGTTAATTGTAAATGTTAAAATTATTTCATATATTTTTATTTTAATTATAACTTATCTCTGTTAAATTTCCTATTTACAAATTTTATAGGTCTTTAGAGACTTTTCACGCTTACCTTGTATAAATTCATACCATACGTATTTCGTTACTTTCGACTAAAGTGTAGGATAGTCATGACAGATTTTATTTGTCTCAAATATTAAAGTATTTATAATAAAACAAAAATATTTTTTAATTATCGTAATATTTAAAACCCTTTAAATGCGACTGATTATTTACTTACTTTTATAAAACGCGTTCC